CACACACACACACACACACACACATCATAGTACAGTACACATAATAGTGTTTTTTCTTCCTAGATCTTTAAATATCCATTACTAATATCTGGATCAATATTTTAGACACTAAGATTAAATATGATTTGTCCCCAAGTTCACTGTTTGCCTTAAATACACAGTAATTAGTATGTGTATTTTTACTTCCACAGAGGCTGCAGGTTTGCTTTCTACCTGGGACAACGTGGGACTCTGTGATGCTGAGCTGACTCTGGAACACATAATTGCCCATTTTCACTGCTTCCAGTGAGGCCTGACAGCTCACGTGACAGCACTGATAGATGACTAGAAAAAGGATTTTCTAACTCCATTTCAGAAAATATTTCCTGAAAATTCAAGATTTAAAAAAAACTGCACAAATAATGAAACTCACTATTCATTAAACCAAGTTTTACATCCTTTCAATAATCCTACCACATAGAACAAAGTTTAGAATTTGCAAATAAAGCGAGACATTGAAGAACTTCTACAAATAATCACAACAATAATCAATAGGAAAACCCATTTCTAATTACCTCTGTTGAGTGATGCTGAACTGTTTATATCTCCAGTAATAAAGGATGACTCTGACTGTTTTCTTACTGTGTCATTCCACATTCTACGAATTCGGCTCTGGAAAGACGAAAGGAAGAAAGAGAAAGAACTCAGGAGGCAGTGAATTCTCACAAAAATCACTCTTTTACTTTCTGTCATCATTATATGAGACCCTTGGTTCTAGCATCACGCTGGAAGTATAGTTGAACAAGGACATCAGAAATAAAATTAATGGTAATTCTTGATTCCTTTAGGTGGACCCTACACATCTATAACAGAGACAGTTTCAACTACAAAAAGAAAGCACTACATCAACTTAAATATGTACAAGTATACATTACATGGCATTGTAAAAGTTTAGTTTTCAAGGTAAAATAAATTATTTTCATTGTAATTTTTTCCTGGCATTTGAATGTTTACATATGCATTAAATTTGTATTTTATTAATAAAATATTTAGTTTGAGCATCTGGCGTTTAATAAGTAAAGAACATAGAATATTAGTGAATGCTACTGAAGTTGTATTTTTAGTAACTTATAAGAAGACCAAGGGCCGGCCATATAGCTCAGTGGATTAAAGTGTCTGCAAGCAGGCGCAGGGTTTGGGAGTTCAATTCCTGGGCCTGCCATGCTGGCCTTGCCCCCAGGGTGAGCTGAGACAGCAATGGAGACTGGGTGTGGCAGTGCGCGCCTGTAATCCCAGCTCTTGGGAGGCTGTAAACAGGAGGATCACTATGAGTCT